TAAATAGAACCGCACGGATCTAGACATCGATTATTCCAAGACCAATGATCCTTACCCATAGAAGGCACAAATCTGATCTTCATCCATATATTATACTTATTTCAATATACAGCTATTCAACTAATTGTTTTAATTTTCAGTCACCTGTAAGAACTACAATCATTCAATGTTTGTTAAACCAAAGCACTGAATTCACCCTCATAAACAGTGTGAATAAGAAGCTTAATAATCACAAAGAGATTCATATATGAGAGCACAAATATACATGTCATCAGTTTACTTAATGATGGAGTCGTGACATTTTTGTACCTCATGTTAATAAAAATATTTGATCTTTGAATAATCGATGTCTCAATCAGTTGGATTATTCTATTTCAATGAAAATTTAGCAGTACTAAATAAGTAAAGATTAAAGTGAAAAATTACATCATTTGAACAATTAATAAGTATGATAATAAACTTTCGTATAAAAACGCTAGGTTGGTAAGTACTATATCTTCAAACTACTGTTTTATATTGTTTGTCAGAAAACTGGGAAACACTTTTTTTGTTAATAAAAGAACATAGAATTTTTTTAGAGAAGTAAAAACGGAATCTTTAAATCAAAAAATTCTTTCGAAAAGCCCAAAATGGGTTGATATATCAAATAAGAAATGCTGAAAGAGTCATTGAATTTGCTGTATCTACTGTTTTCTTATAAATCATTATCATTATCATCAGCCATTTCTCAGTTTCAATTACCTTGAAATTCTGCTACATCTTTTCAAATGGCATCCGGGTGCATAATTGTTTCCGATGATTAAGTTTATAGTATAACAAAAAAAAGAATTGTACCATAAGGTCATATATCATAATTGGTGTTGTACAACTACATGCAAGATAAGTTTTTCAATATTATGATTTGCTCCAGCACTATAGTTTTTTTTATCACAAATTCAGATTAAAATTTTCATGTTTTTCTACTTTTTTGTGTTTTTTTAATGCAATAAAAGATATTTATTATGCATTACGGCTACGAGCACATAGAGGTCAATACTCACTATAATTAGCCTTATTTTAAAAGATGACAGCTGCTAATGAATAGAAGTAATGGCTGATTTTCTTATGCATACGTGACACTTGTCAAAATCTCGATTTTTATAACACTGTTACGTTGTTCGTATATCTTTTGTGGAATTCTACATGATATTATCCGAAGAGAAATGTCGTAGATGGTACTATTAAGTCGAGGTTGGGAACTTCTTCCATTCTTATATATCTTAGCACCCAAGGAAAAAGGTCAGAGAGTAATGAGTATCTTTCTCCAAGTAGCAGAAAAGTTGAGAGAAGAAAGCCTAACTACAACTCAGTACATTTCTCTCAAATTCAAGAAAAACGGGTGTCAGACACGGTACATCGCAACGGAAAAGATGCTGAACGACATTGACAATCACACTTAAATTGTTCAAGAATATTTGAAAGCCTTCCGTGAAACTTGAATCACTGGAGTACGTTTGTGAATATTCGGAGTCTAGTGAAGTTTTTGATTAGTGCGCGAATAAAAATTTATATGCAAGAGGTCATAATAATTGATAGTGATGCATGGCTTTGCTACAATCATCATATGCTTAGCATAAAAAAAATGAACTGATCAAGTTATAATTTTGAGGAATAATCAATATAAGTGTTTACGAGTTTATTAAGACATATAATAATGCATTGGGACTTGATATATATATAATGAATATGTACAACAAGTTTATTTGTGGGCTAGAATAATAATACTTTTAAATTAAGAAAAATGGAATACAGACAAGAAAAATAACCAGTGAATGGCAATGGGGCAAACAAAAATAGAGCGACAGCTAAAATTCTGCTCGAAATGCAGAAATAAATTAAACAGATCGTTTCTTCTGGCGATTGGTTATCCTTGAAAAACAACTGTAGTCTACCAGAGATTTTTCATTTGACATATTTTATATAAGTATAATTAGGTTAAAGAACAAATATGGGTTCCTCATTCTAGTCCCATAGGGAGTGCGCTAACAAGCTGTTGTATATGAATATTTACTATCGTTTGCCAATAGCGATTGAATTAATTGTTTTTATTCAAGTGAATATTGATTTACCAATTGTATATTTACTAGCAATAGTGCTGAGTATGAACAACTGTCAGTCGTGATAGTTAGCAAAAGAAACATGTTTACTCATAGATGTTGCAATACCTTATTAAAAATGCTCATTTGTCAAAGAAATCTATACGTCATATTAAGAATCCAAAGAATTGGTATAAAGTCGCCAAAAACGTAGATGAATATGTCAATATCAATATAGATGTAAACGATAATAGTGAATAACTTTCATTAAATACAAATGTCGGGAAGAATACTTCAGATATTGGTTATTAAAGCACTTGATCGATATTAAAATTGTTACGTTTACGTATAAACCTGTTGTCATCTATGTGAAATATGTAAATTTGAGAATATTATGTCATACTTTTTTTACATATATATTTTCATAAATTCAGTTCGATGATCTGCTAGTAATACTATGTCGTTGTATAATCTACAGTTTCATCTAGCAACCATTCATGTGTGATGATAAAATAATAAAAATTCGTTTCAGGAATAAATGATTACACAAACCATTCATCAATCTGAATTCGATACTAAAAGATTATAATATTTCATGTTTTTGTTTTCTAATATGTTATAGATTAAGATTTAACTTTTCGATGTACAATCTCAACTTTATTATCACATAAAACAAACTGCATATTTTTACATATACAATTGAAATCTTAATACCATTTCGAAACATTTTTTTATAAGTTACTCATAACATTCGATCGCATATAATTATATTACATTGCTTATCAATACGACAAATCAACCTATAAAACCTATAATAGAATAATGAATAATAAATTACAATATGTAGTTTCATAATTTAGGATAAATTTTCTTTGCAGACTTCACGGTATCCGACATATTGAAGCTAATTAGTATAACATGAATTTCACACCATAGACTTTCAGCAACTACCAGAAGCATGTTTGTCCACTTCGAAAAAACAGATGTTACTCTTATCTAGTGATATATGGGTGATCAGTCACATCAACCAGTATATAGACTATGTTTAAAGTAGTGTCATGCAGTGGTACGACTTTTCGCAACCGAACTCAGCCTGAAGCTAATCAACATTCAGAAGATACTTTTAGAGTTCATAGTGTAGTTTTCAAACTTTGCATTTACTTTCTTTCATAAACAGCAACAAAAAAATCGAGATCATTTCGAATTCCACGAAAAAAAAAACAAGTGATTTAGGATTCAAAGGGCGTCTTTCTACCTCCAAAACTCCATCAATATTGCTAATGGTGTTTCATTGTTGCCAATAACACTTGTAGAGAACGAAAGTGCTAATGCTAAATGCTGTAATTGTTGACAAATACATACATGAATGTTTTTTTCCATCATGATGATACATGTTCACGTTTTTGACAACTCGTTTTTCTTTTGATGAACTCAGCCACTTTATCATCATTCGTAGACGAATTTTCGTTAAAAACCAATTCTTTCGGTAAAAATAATATCGCTTTTCACTTCTGTGACCTGTACTCAAGTACAATAAATTGCTCAATCATGATCGAACCAGTTTTCACTCCTATATTTAAATATAAATTAACCGTTTGAAAAAGTAATCATATTTTGAAATATCAAGATCTCATTAATAACCAGTCTGGGCCTAGTGTCCGTCCGAGTTGCAAGAGCTGTCAAAAGTTTACGGCAAAATTCATGTTTTCCAAAAATTAACCCAAAATTTGTTTGGAAATTTAAACAATTAATCTCAACATCAGCAATAGTATTATTGTTTTATTCACATTTACTCATTAAATATTATCTTATCAATGTTATTTAAGCTAAGGTTCATTATTGTAGATACATTCATTAAACAAAAATAAATACTATTTAAACATATAGATGACATTGTTACTGATTAAAACTAATTTATATTCAAGTATACTCGGTTGATTTATTGCCATTGTTAAACACTCAAATAAAAAATGTCTGCATATGCATAGTAGTGATTAGTATGTGTACATACATGCATAAGTTTGTCAAGCAAGATAATAAAAAAGCTAATACATCAATCTTTGATGTTGTTATGCAATTTCATATCAACGATGATAGCATTCAAGAATAATTCAATAAAGAATATGTTCAAAGGATTAGAAATACTACTTGCCTTTTGCTTTCAAAAAAAACAACAACAACATTGCATTCTTTATTTGGTGAAAATCTACTATCAAGATATTTAAATACACAATTTTCCTATTCCCTTTCGTCTAAACTTACTTGAACATTGTTGACACAAAAATTATAAGAATGGTTTTCAAATGAATAAGTATATTTGATATATGGCTTTTACTAAGCAACTTATTATCAAATGAGTTTTCTTTATAGTTTCGACATTTCATTTATTCATTCTTCATATTTATTTCATAAAAGTGCAATCAAAAAAAAATGTTTTCCAAGTCAAAAAAAAGCAAAAGGATTCTCACTTAATACATCATTTCGTGTTAGTGCACAGGAAAAAAAAAGAGCAAAAGCAGAAATAATAGAAATGGAATGAAATCAATACATTGGTACAACAAAAAAACGAAGCGAAATTGAAACAAAGTAGTTGTACAAAAAAAATACATAATCAAATAAGCACAAAAAACAAAGGAATGGTGATAAAATACTGGATAGAAAAACAGAAACCCACAAGTGCAATTAAAAATGTCTCGCTTAATATCCCTACAAGAAAAAAAAAATGTGACAAGTCAAAAAAAAAACGATAATCATATAAATATAAAATCGATGCATGCAAATCATCACTAAATATTCAGTTTTATACTCTAAAATTCCACACTAAATAAAAATTTCAAAAAAAAAGTGAACTCGATAATTTGATTCTCTTAATACATTCATTAACATGCAGCAACATTGAAAAATCTTATCAACTTGAAAAATATTTTACCACAATCCTAAATAATCGAAATAAAATAAATAATTCTCCTTTTCTTTTCATACCTTTCGATTGTCCACCAGGTGGTTGATGAACACGAGTTGTCTTTCGTTGGTTTCGATCATCCCATTGATCACCTAGAACATATATATAGATTTTTTTAAAATTATTATTCTAAACTTTATTTTCAAATAAAAATATTTACCTGATAATGTAAAACTCGAATCTAATAGATTTCGTCCACCTTAAACAAAGAAACAAAAAAATCCCCACGACAATAAAATAGCGTATGAAAAAAATTCATATTTTTCTTTTTCATACGGACCAGCGCGCGTTGCTGGCCGGCTATGAAAACCAGCGGTAGCAGCAGCAGTAGTAGGCTCACCACTACTTGTATTTGTTTGTCCTTTTGGTTTTGTTTTTGAATCAGCTTCTGATGTTGCTTTATTAATATCTAATACTTCACCTGTATATGGTTCACGTTCAATTTTTTGTTGTTTTATTTGCTAAATAAATTGCAATGATATCGTTTAATCTTTAACGAAAAACAAAAACCTGTTCACGAAGTTGTTCACGTTTATTTAATCTTTGATAAACATATTCAGCATAACATGGAGTGTCAATATATTTTCCTGAACCTTGTACACCACTTAACTACCATATACAGATATATATATAGTTAAATATAAATATTGTTAAAAGAATTCTACAAACTTGTCCACTTTCATAAGCAATTTTACCAGCAACAATCGTAACTACAGGTAATCCATGACATTGTAAACCTTCAAAAATATTAAAATCACATGCTTGATGATGTGTTGAGGCTGAAATGGTTTTATTTGCTTCAGGATCCCAAATAATACAATCACCATCAGAACCAACAGCTATACGACCTTTTTTAGGATAAATATTAAATATACGTGCTGCATTTGAACTTGTTACAGCAACAAATTGATTGATATCAAGTTTTCCAGTTTCAACACCTTTTGTCCAAATAACTGCTAAACGATCTTCAACACCATTGACACCATTTGGAATCTTACAAAAAAATATATATTTATATTAAGTGAAAATAGAAAATATCTTTTGTTTTTCTTTTACTTTTCGAAAATCATCTTTTCCAAGAGCTTTTTGGTTAGCATTAAACGTACAATGATCAGTACCAGTTGCTGATAATGAACCACTAGAAAAATTAATGATCTTTTAAATAAATGTTTAAATAAACACATCTTACTTAGCCAATAGATCCATTAGATAAGGACCAGTTGTTGCATCATTACGCAAAGGTGGTGACATTACATGAGCGGCTGCATGACGCCAACATTTATGAAAATATTGCGATCCATCAACTCCTAAGCTTGCTGCAATAGGTTCACCAAATACAACTTGACCTAATCGAAAAATAAAAATATCAATATTATTCAATAGGAACAACTAAGATAAAAAGAATAATCATATACCTTTTAATCGAGCTTCCGTAACTTTATCAGCTGCTGTTTTACTCATAACATGCACAACATAGAGTGGACATCTTTAAATTTGAAATAAAATTTTATTTAATATAAAAGTTATTTTTTTACCGAGTTTGTTCAGCAATAGTAATAGCTCGATTTGTGGCTTCAGCTTCGAGCTAAAATAAATTAAAACTATCTATTATACACAAAATATCGATTAACATTATCTATATTTACTTTTTCCGGTCGACTAAGAAGATGACCTTCAGGTCCTGTTATACCTAATTGTGACATTTCTTTTTCTAATTCAGTTATTACGGAACCATTTTCAGCATGCACCATAGCAATAGCACCTAGCTCACGACATTTACTAAATACTTGAAAAATTTCATCATCTTGTAACATAAAAACATCTTTATAAGCCATGAAAACTTTAAATGAATTAACACCTAAAAAAATCATTGTAAAATATAAATATTCAACTAACATTAATTTCTATCAATAGAAGAAGAACCTTTTTCTTTCGTAAGTTTTTCCATATCTTTAGCAACTTGTTCATTCCATGTTGTAATAGCAACATGTAAACCATAATCACAACAAACTTTAGCATCAGCTCGTTCGCGCCATTGTGCATAAGCTTCAAGAAGTGATTGTTCTTTTGCAGGAATAACAAAATCAACTATAAATAAACAAAAAAAAAGGGTTTTGCTTTAAAATCAATATAAATAGTATTTAACAATGTGATGTAATTTTTTTTTGTGCCTAGTCAGTAATAATTGAAAGAATGATACACAGTTAATCACTTTTTTAAGGCTGAGATCAAATGTGCAAATGATGTAATATTCTTATAAGAAAAAAATGCGTGATTGTATATATGGACTAAATCATTGGCTAGTGACGTGACATCGCAATATTAAAACGTATATGTCTAGGTATAATAAATTTTTCTAGAGTTAATTTTTATATTTTATATATATGTTAAGTAAATTCTAGATACCCGAGAAAAAAATTCGACCTAGAGACCTTGGTTCAAAGGCGTTATTAATAAAAACCAAGGGTTGTCGACGTGACTAAAACAAAGGACATCCATATTCACTCTTTGCATTTAATTTTAACGAAAAAACTCCAGAGTCTATAAAATCTCTATCTATAGATTTTTTTGAATACATCTAACTTTTTCAAAAAAATTCAAAATTAATTCCCAAAACAAAATCAGTTTTTTAAGAGGAAATTTTTAAAGATCGATCTTGCTAATAATTGATTGTCAATTAAAACAGCCAAGGAATTTATATATGTCTATGCCAAAAGAACTTATTCAAAAAAGTAATTCTTGTAAAGAATCAAAGTCAAATGAAAGATGAGTATGTTCTTTTCTGCCTGAAATTGCTCATATACAGAAAATATCTTCTAAGAATAATATTTATTTGCTTATATTAATAATTTTATTGATTGCATGTTCACTTCAATAAATATGTATATATGATGAGTGATGTACATATCTTTTATCAACTGTGGTTCGTCTTTTATGATATTATTATCATGATTGACGATAATATCATTTATTGGGTGAAAACAGATTCTTTCTTGATGTCCATCTTTTGGACATGAGAAGTTAATACGACAGGTCAGGTGAATAAAAGAACACATTGAAAATATAAAAGAAAAACACACATATAGTGACAATTTTACGATGAATAATGAAAGAAAATAAGTCGATAGTATTATTTCACACATCATAATCGAACTCATAAAAAAGAAAAGTAAAAATATTTTATTTTTATTTATTTCATTGATTTGTTGAGTTTCTTATCTGATTAGATATTCTATGGCTGACATTATTTTTGTTACTATTGGTACTACAATTGGTACAGTATTATTATTATTATTTATATTGATAATAATAACAATAATTTATTGTTATAAAAGTTCTCATCATAATCCAACAATATCAAAACAAGAAGATTTTCTTCATTCAGTGATTTCTAATTCATCAATAAATAATGATTATCATAATAATGTGACATTACGAGCATCAACTCGACGTTTTGCACTCGTCGAATTACAACAACAAGAACAAGAACAAATTCTAGATCCTTTACAAACATTTACTTATGAAAATCCTTCTTGTAACTTAAGTGAATTAACAAATACAAAAATAATGCGATTTTAAATTTTTTTTATATACATACGTATTGTTGTTGTACCGCCAGCAATAGCTGCTTTTGTACCGCTAAGAAAATCATCAATTGATTTTGTACCCATAAAAGGTAATTCAAAATGAGTATGTGTATCAATACCACCTTACAAAAAAAAAGCCAAAGTTCTTTCAAATAAAAATCTTCACATTTATAATTACCTGGCATAACTAATTTGCCTGTTGCATCAATTGTTTTTGTTCCACCTGGAACTACAAGATTAAGACCCATTTGTCTATTAAGAGAAAAACAATATGAAACAAGATGAGTTTATAGAAAAATAAACAAATGAATCACTTACTTAATAATACCTTCTTCAATAAAAACATCTGCAAGTGTTGTTCCATCATCATTAACCACTCGACCACCTTTGATTAACAGACGTTGTTGAGATGACTATGAAAAAAAAAACATAAGTGTTCAATAAAAATGCAATAGTAAATAAATGTGTCATTATGTGTATATATATATATATATATTATTCACTTTCTCACCACAATATGATTTTTGCTAAATTTAGAAACAGATACACCTAATGGGGCATTTGAATCCGGATAATTTGTTCGTACAACAAATTCCGGTTTATCTTTTTTTTCTGATGTTGACTTAACATTAGTCGAAGGAACAATAATTTTTGTTCGTTTCGCAGACGAAGAATTTGTTTCTGTTTTCACTTCTGACATGTTAGATTCATTCATCAATGATTCGTATTTTTTTTCTTGCATACAAACTCATATAATGTCCTATAAAAAAAAACAAAACACCAGCTGGCACCATACATTAGTATTGATCGTTGTGTCTTGTGCCATTGATGGAATAATAGTGAATAGTGTTCGTGCATTTCCTGGCCTTGATGCAGTCGTTATTGATGAAGGAAAAGACGATGATTGTTGTGTATTTTTAATAACATAAAAATTCGATTCTGGATTTGAATTATGTATCATTTGATCATTATCAGTTGTTGAAGGAATATAATAAAAACAAGCATTAGATGAAACTGTTTGATCTTCAACATCTGATAATGACGACGACATGATTCTAATGTTTCTATGCCAGGCTAAGTTCAGAAGTTATTTGGTTAGAAATATTTTTTCTATTATTAACATCTCGGCTAGGCGTTTCCTTTCCTCTTCTTTTTCTTTTTTTCTTGTATTCTCTATCTTTTTGTCTGTTCATCATGCTTATTTCTTTTTTTTTTTGCTATTTTTCGTTCTGTCTGGATACAAAAAAGGAAGCACTATATCATTATTAATAGATCCTATCGGTAACAAATTTATTTGTTGATAAATAAATACATTTTCATAAATAATCTTACATCATTTTTGGGTGTTGTTGCATTATTATTTTGCGTAATTGGCATTGTTCAAGAGATAAATTTTAGTGAAAAAATGAAATCTACAAAAAAAAGTTCATATGATAGTTCAAACATATATTTAAATAGATTCACATGAAATCTGTTGTAAAACATACAGACAAGTGTCAAATGAGTCGTCAACGACACCGATCATCACGTATACACGCCTACGTTACATATAATATTTGTTTAGTATATACAATAGAGATCAACGAACGGAAGTGTCACATCGCGATCACATCGAATGAATGAATGAACTCTACTGTGGACAGATCGGCATTCAATCAAAACTGTATTGAACTTTTTTTCTATGCATGTTCTCTTCAAAGAACAGGAAAAGAAAAAAGAAGTCTATGAAACGCAAAAGGAAAATCTGATGACTCATCATCGATGGATTAAGGAGGCCATGCAAACTAATAGAGCAATCATTACTCTCGACTAGATACCTGTTTATATACAAAATTTCTTATCAATTTAATTTTCTGATATTAAGAAAAAAAACCAGCTCAATCCTAGAGTAAAATAATTAGAATCTAATCAAAACTATCTTGTATTCTTCCTTAAACTACTGCCATCTATTTAATAAAATCCAAAGTTTTTTTTGTATTCATTCCTTTTAAAGTTCATTTTAAATAAATAAAATTATTTTTTTTATGATTATTTTTTTCATATTCCATGGAATATATCAATTGATTCATGTAATGCGTAGTCTTATTATCATCTGGCATTTTCATTCCGTACTTTTTCCGTCCTGAAAAATAACCAATAAGATTGATTTAATTTTTCATTGACAATCATTCAAATGGATAATACATCAATACCAACAACACCTGGTGGTTCGGTTGGAGATGAATGGCATGATGCTTCAGCAGATAATAGTCCAGCAACGAATGAATCTTCATCTAAAACAGGATCATCAATAGTGTCAGAAACGAAAACAAATATGGAAACAAAAGAAAAACGTTCTATGCATTTTAGCAAAAACATTGATATTAATGTTGATTTAAATATAGGTCCAGCACCTTTATCAGATGAAGAAAAAGCTATTAAAGAACGTGAAGAGTGTGACTATTCAATTAAAATTACTTTAGATATGGCAAAAAATGGTACGGCACCAAGAAAAATTCGTATTTATGCTGATGGTAAATAAAATCTTATTTATTTTTTTTTGAATGATTAATTTCATTGTAAAAAAAAACAATTAGGTATTTATGACTTATTTCATGCTGGTCATGCACGACAATTAATGCAAGCAAAAAATATTTTTAAAAATGTTTATCTTCTTGTTGGTGTTTGTAATGATGATTTAACACATAGTAAAAAAGGTAAAACAGTTATGGATGAAGCTGAACGTTATGAAAGTGTACGTCATTGTCGTTATGTTGATGAAGTTGTTATTGATGCACCGTGGGTACTTGATGATGAATTCTTAACACAGAATAAAATCGATTTTGTTGCACACGATGAAATTCCATATGGAGCTGAAGGAAGTGACGACATTTATCAACATATTAAGGTAAAATAGATAATTCATTTGAGTTAAAGACAATATTCGGCTTTATTCTTAATTGTAAAATTGAATATGCATAATAGTTCTTGTCAAACAAACAGAACTTAAACAGTGGTTATCTTTTGAGAAGGATGTTTTCGATATAATAGTTCGATTCATATATTTATGATCTAATACATCACTATCAAATCCTTGGTGAAACACGAGCTATAAAAAATGTTGAAATATAGTAGTAAAAAAAATTGAACCCCCACAGTCCATAATAAATATCTCAGCACAATTCCGCCCCGTGTATTACAGGCATCTCGTTACGATATATGCACTATATCATTATTACATTTTTGAAGTGTTGAGTAAAAGGATGGTGAAGAATTATGTTTCAAAATACACAGAATAGAAAAATGTTACTGAGGTTAGCAAGATCAGTTGAATTGTATAGTTTACTTTTAAAAAACTTTCTTTCATTTAATGCAGATATCATTGCAAATTTGTATAATACTTTTTCGGCCATATGCTGTAACATGATTTCTATTATCATATTTTCTATTGTTCTCTAAGACTCATCAATAAAATGCAAATCAAATGGAAATATATATATTATATACAATAGAATATATAGAAGTGCAGAGGCGTGAAAACTTCGAAATGAGCCATTATCTTTGACTTACTCATTATTTGTATCAGAAGCGGATTGAAGAAAATTGATGACCTTTGCATGCATGCCAATATTTTTAATAAGAATTGAAAGACAATTTTGAATTGAATGGTTCTCTTTTCTTTTTTTTTTATTATTATTACGAAAACGGTCATTTATATAAATTAGTGAGATCAGCACAATTTTGCTAATGATAGGACTCGTGGAAATTTATTCAATTTGAGGTAATGACGGCATTTCATCTCTGTCACTGTTAAATCCCTAGTGCGGATCTCTTTCGTTCTAAAGCATAAGCAATCTTTTGTCTGATGGTTGAATTCTGTCGTCTAATGATGAATCTCATCCTACTGTAGTTACACCATTAATCCGATATTAACCAAATTTGATACGATCTCACAAATGGGTATCGCAATTTGAAACTAATCAATCTATAGAATTTATAAATTGATCTTTATTTCAATCGAATCATATGCTCAATTCTAACGGAATTCTTTTTAAAAGAATGCATAAATACTAATCATAAATACAAATGTATTCTTTAGGCTCGTGGAATGTTTGTTGCAACTCAACGTACAGATGGTGTATCAACATCTGATATTATTTGTCGTCTTGTACGTGATTATGATATGTATGTAAGACGAAACTTAGCTCGTGGTTATTCGGCACAAGATTTAAATGTTGGTTTTATTAAAAAAAATCAATTAGAATTTCAATCGAAAATTGATACAGTTAAATCAAAATTTCGTACATATGAAGAAGAATCAAAAACATTTATGGAACGTTGGGAAGATCGAAGTAAAGAATATATACATAATTTTATTGCTTTATTTGAAAAAACAGGTGTTCTACATTTATTGCAACGATCACAATCACCATTTACGATAACAGGTGGTCATAGTGGTAGAAGTGATACAGACGATGACGATATAACATCATCAAAAAATATTCATTATGATAAGAAATCAAAGAAACATGATAAAAGAACTAATGCAAACAATTAAATCTCATCGTTTGAACATTATATGCTTGCTTAATATGTATTTGCAGAACATTTATGTATGATTTTCTGGTTTTTTTCTTTTCAAACAAATATTTAACGGAACTCGCATATAAAAATCCATTGCTTGTGATTTTGTTTTTTATTCGTATTTTATTGCAAAAAAAAAATAAGAACAAGGATTTCATTGTCATATCAATGGTTTCTTTTTTTTTGTCCGGAAAATATAGTTAATCATTGCATAGCTTTCATCTATGAGTAGAATTATAATGAAGAAAAAATTTTGTTTGGTTCTCATATTCGATGTACGAAGTCAAATAACCATTCTTGGAAGAAAACAGAAAGAAAGAAAAACTAAATACTAACAGAACAAGAGTGAAAAAGAGAGTGGCACTCATGACATTATATGAAACAAGAAACACTCGTTAAGTTCAGTGTTCGAACGTCAATAATCTCATGTGAAGGAAGAAAGAAAAAATTGCTAAAAGAAGACGGAATATAAAAAGAGAAAAAATATTGGCCGTCTTGCTTGTTGCTCTGCTTCTCACGATTGACACGACTGGTATGTACTTTTGTCTTATATTTTACCTATGTAGAACGAGAAAAAAACAAATTTTGTTTCTACATTTATTCTACTCAAACTCATATAAATCACAATTTAGAAAAAAGTGTACTGATTAAATGATCGTTAATTGTATAATAAAAGAAACAGCTCTCATTATTGAATTTTTTTACGATGAAATAAAAAGAAAAACACATCGATGAAGTACTACTCTACATATATATATAATTATTTTCTTTTACATAGAATCTACTTTAGTAAATGAAGAAAACATTTTCTATGGATTGCTTAACGATATTCTTCGACATAAGAGTATTTTTATCTATCCAAAGAAAGTATTATGACAATATAACTATGTAAGAATCATAGAATATTTACTATTAATGGTAATAATAACGAACATGTCAACAAAAATTTTCTTGATAGCACTGCTATACATTAATCATCATTAGCAATTTTCACTATCATAGTTATCTGTTTACATTTTTCATATATTCGATAATGATTAAATAAAACTTCTTTCGATAATCAAATATTCGTATTAAATAGTATTAGTAAAAGGAAATAAAATCATAAAATCAATTGCAAAAAAATACATTTTTAGAAATTTTATTATAAACACTTATAATTCTCTATATTAAGCTTTCGGCGAGTCTTCCGTTGCACTATCAGAAAAATAAATAATGCAGGAAAAAAAAACGAGAAAAACAGATAAAAACGACAAGTACTGATAAAACAAAATGTCTAGAAAAAAATAAACCGGAAACTCATTGAATATCTGTTCTTTCGTTCTTCCTACATATTTTTTTATCAGAACGTATAAGTTTTCATCTTGTTTTTTTTATGCCATTCATTATACTGATATTATCAAGTGTTATCCGTCAGAAGCTCGGAATAGAAAATAGTAAGTGTTTTCAAGTAAATTTCAATATATATTTTTGTTTGCCACTATTTAT